GTTTAAGTGCAATAAACAATTCTCATTTTATTGAAAATACGTTGTGTTCCTCTATGTGAATAGAAAAAACGTCATTGGTTTGAGAAGTTCATGGAAATCTGTGAAATGTGCTCATCATTAGGAGAAAAAGTTTATTAAAATGCATAGGGTATTGGCGGTTTGTGAATAGACTATGTATGAGAGTTGAATGCATAATAGATTCTCTCTTTTATAAACTTTTTCTATAGTGGAAGTATGTTATCATGCTTGAATAGAGAGTTGGGGTTCTAAGGTATATTTCAAAACGGGCCTTTGAATTGCATGACTCCGGGCCGTGTGGAGAGTTGACAATCCTCCATATCGTGGTTAAGGAAATGAATTGACTCGGCCTTTGATTTGTTTTTTTATTCTTAAATGCGTAAGTTACGTAATATATTGTCTACGTGCCTATTATATGTGTAATGTTCGATTTGTGTTCGTTTTTTTTAATTTTGTTTCGGGTTCTTGGCGGTGTTTTTCGGGTTACCTTGGTTGAGGAAGTTGATTATCTTTTGAGCTTGTTTTCCCTCACTTTATCAAAAAATAAAAAAAATAAGAAAACATTTAAACCAAAAATATTTACTTTTTATTGAACCCCCCCCTTTGTGTTATATAAGTCTATTTAATAAGTGTTTGTTTATAAGTTATATTATAAGTTCTTTGTTATATAAGTTACTTATAAGTTTTAGTGTTTATTTTTATAATGAGTTCAATTATAAGTTTTATAAGTGTTATCTTTTGTGTAGTATTTAGTTTTACTTTTATGTTTATTTTTGTGACAACGTGTTTGTATACTAAATTGGTTTTGAAACGTACAACATTTCTCCGTGGGATCGACCCTTACTTGCCCTAGCTATAGTTTTTATTTGATTATATATTGGGGGTTAGTTAAGGATGTTTTATAAATTTTTAATTTGTTTTGGACCACACGACAAGTCCCCAACAAATTTTGGCGCCGTTGCCGGGGAAATTGTTTTGTAAAAAAAAAATCAGTTTCGTATGCATATGTATTCTTGTAAGCATGTTGTAAATACTTAACTTTACTTGTTTTTTTTAACTTTCTTGTAACTTTGAGTATATATGTGAATTATTAGAGTCGGAACTAACCATTTTTAACTTGTATGCATCATTGTATGTTCTACATTCAGCCTGAATCTACTAACTATGCATGAATTTGAGCTTAATTTTTCACAAAGAATCTGATTTTTTTTCCTTATTTAAGAATTTAAGTGCTTCTCTTTGTGAAAAATTGAAATAAAAAATTTCAAACATGATCAGTGTCTCTTTTCATTTTTTAAAGTGTTTTAAAGAAACACTGATACTGCATTGTTTACCACTTTTGCAGCTTGTGTTTTTGCGATTAAGAAGCGGTAAAGTAATCGGTGAAGAAAGCGAAAGTGAAACAGGTAGTAATAGCGACCAGGTAAGTGAGGTAAGTGAGGCTGAACCCTCTTTTAATTTGGATAATCTTGTGGAACTGTTTGGGTCTGCTCTTACCATATCTGAAATTACACCTGTGAGTGTATGCGTGCAAAACATAAGTGAATCTGATTTCAAAGAATCAACTTTTAATAATCAAGCTAGTTCTAAAATGGCAGCCCCTAACCGTACTCTTAGAGAATTAGCTGCACCTGACTTGACCATTCAACCTATTTCCATCACTTATGGTGAGTTGGAAAAACCCCTTAAACTTAATTCTGGATTTATCAATTTACTTCCTAAGTTTCATGGTCTTCCTGGAGAGGATCCTTTTAGGCACATATCTGAATTTATGATCACTTGTGGTGCAA